AACAAAAGTCGAAGAATGTGCCGAAATTTATGGCTGGCAAGAGAAGGAAATAATTCATTATTCTTTACCTAAATTAACTGGAGTAGCTAAAACGTGGTATCAGGGTCTAACTTCGATATTACATACTTGGTCTGAATGGAAAAGGAAACTTATCGATTCTTTTCCATGTCGAGAGGATTATGCTGAACTTCTTACTAATATGTTAGCTAAAAAAGCTAGATATGGGGAGTCATTAGAGCATTACTTTTACGAGAAAAATAATTTATTAAACCGATGTAATATATCTGGTAGACAGGCTGTGGATTGTCTCTTGCATGGTGTTGAGGATCGTGCTGTTAAGGTTGGCGCACAAGCAGCCCAGTTTAAAGAACCAGAACAGGTACTTAAATATTTTAGAACTGTTAAAAGCGGCCACAGTAGAGACTCTACTTACTCATACGAACGTCGGTTTAGAAGCAACATAAACCGCCCAGGGCCAGCGAAATCAGGTACGAGTACTTATAATTCAAATGTAAGGTGTTTTAATTGCGACGAGTTGGGTCACCCAAGTCGTTTATGTGACAAGCCTCCTGTAAAATGTACAGTCTGTGATAAATTTGGACACCGAAGCGATAAATGTTACAGGAATAATAATAATAAAGATCAACCTGCGGTTAAAGAACATAAACAGGTCTCTGAAGTTAGCGTAGAGGATTCAGGTTTAAGTAAGTATATTATGGACATCAAAATTAATGGCTCAATAATATCGTGTCATGTTGACCTTGGTAGTCAATGTTCTCTTATAAGAATGAGTGTTGCTAAATCACTCAATCTACAAATAAAAATACACTCAAACTTACCTTTACTTCGAGGTATAGGCGCAAACTTGGTTTCCCCAATAGGAGTCGTCCTGGCCACTGTCGAAGTCCAGGGCTTAATCGAGACAATAGATTTATATGTTGTAGAGGATTATGTCCTGCTGCACCCCGTTTTACTGGGACATTCTTTTACAGAAAAACCTAATGTATTAATAATTAAAACGCCCAATGAAATTCAGTTTCAAAGGATGTCACCAAACAAATTAAACGTAATAGTAGATAATGATACCGATATTCCTGAGAATACACTACGCACAATCGTAATTCGCACTGACATGAACTTGGATTGTGATATATATGTCAATGGTACGCTACGTGGCCCTGAAGGTAAAGAGTATTATATATTTCCCGGTCAGTATGAGATCAAAAACGGACGTGGTGCAATTCTAATCTACAATTTATCATCTACTCCAATCTATTTTGTCAAAGGCACTCTGTTAACTAGATCTCTTCAAAAAAACTCTTTGCCTTTAACGAGAACATTAAATTCTTTTAGCGTTAGTTTCAATGATTTGGAAATGACGAACTCTGTGAATTGTGATCCTAACTTAGATGAAAATCAGCGGCAACGTTTACAAGGTTTGCTAGCAAAGTTTAGTGGTTGCTTCTCCAGCGGATTACATGATTTAGGATATACTCAAGTAACTGAGATGATAATTGAACTTACTGACACAGATCCGGTAGTGTATCGTCCGTACCGCATGTCGTATGCTGAAAGGTCTATGGTAAGGGACATGGTGAAAGAGATGCTTGACAGTGATATAATCAGAGAGTCTTCTTCACCTTACGCAAGTCCAATAGTTATGGTACAAAAGAAAACAGGTGAGAAACGTTTATGTGTTGACTATCGAGCTCTCAACAGAAAAACTAAAAAAGACCACTATCCTTTACCCCGTGTGGAAGATCAACTCGATTTATTAGCAGGTAATACTTTATTCACGTCTTTAGATTTAGCCTCAGGGTATTATCAAATAGCTATATCAGAAGACTCCCGTTCAAAGACTGCCTTTGTAACACCTGATGGGCAATATGAGTACAACAGAATGCCATTTGGTCTGGTGAATGCGCCATCAGTATTTCAACGCACAATAAATAAAATTCTCCTAGAAGCGAAAATTAAATATGCTATCATCTACATGGACGACATTCTCATTCCCTCCAAAGATTTTGAAGAAGGTATACAACGTTTAGAAGAGGTATTACAACTTCTCAAAAAGGGTGGTTTAACGCTAAAATTGAGTAAGTGCCACTTTTTCCATAGCTCGATAGACTTTTTAGGTTTTGATGTAAGCGCTAATGGTATCAGGCCTGGTTATCGAAAAACAGAAGCCGTTTCCAAGTTTCCTACTCCCAAGAATCAACATGACGTGCGACAATATCTTGGTCTTTCCGGCTTCTTTAGAAGATTTATCAAAGGTTACGCCGTAATTACAGCACCATTAACAGATTTATTAAAGAAAAACGCTCCGTGGATTTGGGGTAAGGAACAAGAAAAAGCATTTACCGAAATAAAACAATTGTTGGTAAGTAGGCCCTTACTCGCTCTCTATGACCCAAAGGCCCAAACGGAGTTGCATACCGACGCCTGTAAGGAGGGTTTAGCAGGTATATTGCTTCAACACGATAAATTTAATGTACTAAAGCCAGTTTCTTACTTCAGCCGGAAAACGACTATAGACGAGCGTAAGATGCATTCTTATGAACTCGAAACGCTAGCCGTAATAGCCTCTATCAGTCGTTTTAGAGTCTATTTGGTGGGTATACCGTTTAAAATTTTAACTGATTGCAACGCATTGAGGTCTACACTAGTGAAACGAGATCTCATACCTCGTATAGCACGCTGGTGGGTATTACTTCAAGAATTCGACTGCACTATTGAATATCGCCCTGGAGCCCGAATGGCGCATGCAGATGCGCTTAGTAGGAATGCAGTGGACGACCCCGTAAGTGAGCAACATATTTTGGATGTTTTACAAATACAACAAACAGACCAGAACTGGATCTCTACTGTTCAGTCCACCGACGATGAGGTAAAGAAAATCAAAGAAATTTTGTTAGACCCCACCACTGTCGAAGCAGTTGACATTCATAAGAATTACAAACTTAAAAGTGATAGAGTTTACCGCATAGTAGGAGAAGACTTAAAATGGTTTGTACCACGAGCTGTACGATGGCAAATTCTGAAAATGAACCACGACGATGTTGGTCATTGTGTGTTTGAAAAAACACTGAATCGTATTAAAGAGCATTACTGGTTTCGGAAAATGCGACGATTTGTAAAAAAGTATGTTTCTTCTTGTCTCGAATGCGCTCATCACAAAACGCCTGGTGGTAAACAGGAAGGTGAGTTACATCCCATCGAAAAGGTCAGTATGCCATTTCATACAATTCACGCAGACCACTTGGGACCATTTGTAAAAAGCAAGAAGGGAAACTGTTATCTGCTGGTCATTGTTGATGGCTTCACAAAGTATATAAGTATCAATCCAGTGAAGAATACTAAATCCATCACTACAATTAAGGTAATTAAACAATATATTAGTTATTTTGGCGTCCCCACTCGCCTCATTACCGACAGAGGTACAAGTTTTACCAGTCAAACATTTAAGGACTTTGTGAAATCCTATGGCATTAGGCATGTTCAAAATGCCGTGGCAACACCTAGGGCAAATGGGCAAGTTGAAAGATTTAATAGAACCGTTCTAGACGCATTAGCAACTTCAAATCATGGTGGTGACGAGAAAACTTGGGATGACAATGTCTACGATATTCAGGTTGGTATTAACACCACAAGACATAAAACAACTATGAAAAGCCCTTCGGAGCTATTGTTTGGCTTCAATATAACTAGTAGAACAGAAGGTAAATTAAGTGACATTATAAACGAGACTCTGAATCGAATGCCAGTGGAAGATTTAGAAGAAGTGCGACAAGAAGCGGGCAATAAGATTAAGGAGCAACAGGTAAAGGATGCTATTAATTACAATAAACACAGAAAGGCCCCGACTACATATAAAGAGGGTGACTTGGTGCGAGTAGAAAGGCAGGTTCCACATGATGGTAAGTCACAAAAACTTGTTAATAAGTACCAGGGTCCGTATCGCATAAAAATAATGCTCCCAAATGACCGATTTATTATAGAGGACACACCGTTAACTCGTAAACAGGGAAAAAAAGTACGAAAATATTGTAGCTATCGATAAAATCAAACCGTGGATGAATTTCAACAGATATTCGGAATCTGAATCATCCGAGGGTGACTCTAGTGAAAAAGAGTAGATAAGTGTCCGAACTAGTTACATTTATTCATTTTATTTTATTTCTACCCATAAATGTAAATGATGTTTGAGTAAGTTAGTTACATGTGCTGTTACTCGATGAATTGCATTCTAACAATAGGTATTAATTAAGTCATAATGATACAGTAAACATTAAGATTCCTACATGTAATTGTAACAGTCATTTATATTATTTTAGTTCAATCGCGAGAGGACTCGCTTTTAACAGGATGGCCGAACTGTTAGGTTATAGATGCAGAGTATAATATTTTTAAACATAAATACTTCAGTTCCTTTAAGTTTTGTTAAATGCAGAGTATATTTTTATATAATGGCAACACTTGCTAAATGATGTTCGTAATTAAAATGCTTGCTAGATATTATTAAAATATTATTTGTGATGTTTTAATAATTTAGTTATTTTTTTTATTTTATTTAAATACTTTTACTATTATTACAAAAATATGAAAGTTTTAGTTAATTAGTAAATTATTTGAGTGAAGCTCATTTTTGATGAATGTTTTTGTAGAATGTGGCAATGTTAGAGATTACACACTTTTGGCGGGAATTGAAAAAGTTCGGTCGATGGTTTCGGCTTAAATTGTAAAAATTATATTAAATAAGTAATTGAAGGTCGTTACGAGTCTTATTTCCTGACCCTAATACAAGTTATTAAAATAAATGTAACTTACTGTGTCAAAAAAATTTTCCTCTTCGCAATCGTGAGGAACGGTGGCCAAAAGACTAGCAGCATTGCCACGTTGGATGGCAATGCTTAACGTTTGACCAAGGTAGCAGCTAGCCTTAATAACAGTGAAACTAAACAGTTCAAACAAAAACTTGTAACTGATTTCCTTGTTTCCAGAAAAATTTCAAAGAATTACGACTACGGCTCCTTACTGGGTCTAAATGTTGATGACAAGAAACGAGATCGGAGTCCAGATTACCTGAGCATGAGTGACGCTTCTCCAAATTTGAACTTCAACCCTGATATTCTCAAAAACGTAAACTCTCTCTCAGTCAACCCACAACACCTTAGCTATAAATCATTAGATGATCTTCATAGTCAGAAGTACGGAAATGAAAAATTCCGGAACATTTACAAAGATGATTTGTTGATGGATCAAAACGTTGTCCACAGCCATGAAAAGAAGTGGTAAGTTATAGTAATGGAGTTGTTTATCGCTGCTATTCAATGATAAATACCGTAAAATATAGCTAATAGATAACATTATATCCAAATTGAAAATTCTTATGCATTATACCTGTGGTTCTAATTTTTCCACCATTTTTTAATATTAACACCCTTTCGTACATTTCAGCACGCTAAAAAATATAAAGTTCCCGTTTTTTTCCCATAACAAATCTGAACCCTTGAAGCCAAAGAAAAACAAAAAGAGAAAGCTATTCTGTTTCAATTGTCCTAAAAAGGGGTCAAAGTATCCGGACGAGCCTAAGATTGGTGACGAGATATTTGGTCACTATAAGATAAAAAGATCGTTCGAAGACAAGCTATGTCCAGTTTGCAAGAAGAAATTTTTGGCCAGCTTGGCACAAAATGAGAGACGCAAGAAAGCTTCCAGAAGAGTGTTACACAATAGCAGGCAATACTACCAAAACATATCACCTGAAGCAAAAATGAAAAATAATGTAAAGAATTTCAGAAGGAAGAATGTAGCATTCACCCGTGAAGTTCCAGAAACTACTAGGAGCAAGAGAGAAGATTCTAGGGACAGGCAGTTGAAAGAGTTGGAAGAAGTCCAAAAGAAGATAGACAACGTTGAGATTAACGTCCCTAATTTTGAGAAACCGGCTGAGAAGACTTCGTACAAGTAAGAGGTTAAGGTATTCTTTATTAATATTAAATTTAAGTTTCTTTGTTAATGTCTGTTTTAGACTAGCTGTACTTTATGTTGTAATAAAAGTTATTTTAGCTTCTTTTAGCTGTATGTTCTTTACAACACATTTTAGTCGTGATATATTTTCACGCAGGCGTCAAAACTGACCAATGGTCACGTTGCACAGAGATGATTCAGAAGCGCTCCGTGACAACCCTGAACCTTTTTAATTACAATCTTGAGGGATAAATTTCCTTATTTTACATGTCAGTAAAATTGTCATGGTGTTTACATAAAAATATATTTACATTTTACATGAATAACATAATAGGTATGCACTCCAATATTCCTATACATCATTGTCAGTAAAATATTACACAATACACTCCAGGTGAAGTCTTAGTAAAATGAGAAACTCGAGGGTAGCTCGCTGCAATATATCGGAGCCTCTCCCTCACTGTCTCAGATAGAAATATGATTTTTCTATCGCCACACTGCGATATACAGTTTAAAAAAGTACCTATGATGTTTTCCAATGCAATTTTCTATAACATTCTTATGAAAGTATTTGCAATTGCTTTTTTGAAGCTTTTAGTTGAATTTGAAGTCTTTAGTGTTGGTTTCACAATTTAAGCATATTTTTTCAACTGTGTATGGACCATCTGCAAAATACATTACATTTCATTATTATTGCTATAATGTTAATTGTGAAGTTTTAAAAACGTTAGCACAATATTTAAATAAAACAATTTTTACGTCACTCACCAATATTGAACCATTGATTGCTAGGTAAGCCAGCTTCTTCTCTAGCTGATACAATAGCCTCTTGGATGGCTATCGGTACCGACACTGACATGCAGATGGGAGGTTCTCCGCATCCTGAAAAATATTAATAGGTATTGAATATATAAAAATAAAACTATGGGATCAAAATTGTTTAGATTTTGAACGAAAATATGTATAGAGCAAATAAGTATAATAGGTTATTTTTATTCAGGACCCAGTTTAGCCATTTTGAGCCTACAACAGAAAATCAATACAAGTGCCAATAATGTAGTAATACTTAAGAAAACATTTCAACTGATTTCATGCGTTACAAATAAAATAATCGGTATCTTGCAAACTGTCGCTATCAGAAGGCATCGTGCCAAAGAGGTTAACAGGCTCCCTCATTTAACTGTTAAAATAACTAACTTGAGTATGATATTGATACTGTTCAGTTGCTCCTATACTTTACTACTAACGTTTCCGCAACAGTATGTACAGAGTAACTCGATAAATAATATTAGATATTCTCGTTAATTGAGAAATATATTCCAGGAATTGTCTCGATTTGTTGAACGTGTTCAGTAATAATATGATATTATGAAGTTCTGGATTGAGTCTGGCAAAAGTAATATTGAATATCAGTATCCAAATTTGTTTCATAATTTACTCACTCTAAAAGTCGATATTATGAAAATCGACCCTGATGCGTAAACTATAAATGTGTATATCCTTTAAATAGTTTAATTTTCCAGTTTACGAACCTTTAGACCCAAATATTATTTTGGATGTATACGACTTCTTTCTCAGATAGATTCTGAAGTCCTGTGGTATATCTCTTGCTAGTGGCACATAGTAATTCCAAGTACGATCAGTGAGCAGTTCCCCTGTGTTGGGGTCATAGACCATATTCTCAGACGTCCAGTACCCAAGACCCATGATGAAAGCACCTTCAATCTTTTAAAATAAAAACATGTTTAAAAATAAAAGCTTTCGATATTGGACTCAGCAATTGATGGCAGTAAAACCAGAGGTCCTATCAGCACAATCAATTTCATTGCCAAAATTAACTGAGTATAGTAACTAGATCAAAAATATTTTAAACGACCTCTAGTGACACAACAATCGCATTAAAAATGTTGTGATCAAAATAAACATTACCTGGCCTACATCAAGCTCAGGGTTCACGCTCTGTCCCACATCGTGATGGATATCAACTCTCAATACTTCCATTTCTCCAGTAATCACATCTATCTCAACTTCAGCCAATGTGACACCATACACAAAATATTCTTGCTGATCATTTGCATCAACAAACCCATGGGCTTGCAGGTCTACGAAATTAGCATAACTTGTCGTTATTAAATCTTCCCAAGAAGGATTATTCATCTGTTTTCGAATTGGTTCTAGTCTTTGCAGTAGTTGGTCACAACATCTTTCTACTCCAATCATTATATTCTGCGTTGTAAGACTCCCTCCAGTAACATAAGCATTTGGAGATAAAATTGTGTTTGTTTCAGTAATTATAATTTTTTCTACAGGAATATTTAGTTTATAAGCAGCTACTTGCGCAGCTTTGGTATTTATGCCTTGGCCCATTTCAACTCCGCCATGGCTAATTGCGACTGTTCCGTCTGCCTGGTATACAACGAGGTTCACGTCGAAATATCTTGGGAAACTATGATTCCATTTAAGGAATACAAATCTGAGGCCTCGTTTCTTCCACCTGTTTTCAGCATTGAATTTATTAACTGCTGTTCTCCTTGTTGTATATTCCGCTGTAGAAGCTAGAGTTTCAAACATTTTTTTGAGATCGTTGTGCTGAGGATCTAGATTTGCAAGTCGCAGCTCATTTGGGTTTATTGATAGTTCATAAGATATTTGTTCCATCATAAGTTCCGCCATTGATATGTGTTCCAGACTTCCTGGAATGGGATGGTTGCAAAGTTGTATATTTTTGTAGCATCGTTAAAATTTAGGCTATAAATACTTTATTACCTGGAGATCGAAACCAAGTGTTTTTGGCTGTGTCTGTGACGGTGTTATAGCACTTATAGTTCCAGGTACTAGAGTTGTAGCAGTTATTGTACACTGCGACACCCAACCAAGACAATTCTTCATTGTAGCCGTAACCATTGTCTTCATACATACTGTAGTCAATGTATTGGAAAATACCCGATTTGTTTACACTGACCTAGAAGAAATACAAAAAATCGTTATATGTTTTCAATGTGATTATTCCACATTATTCCAGGTTATTTTGGTATTGCCAATTGGTGCACAATTTTTACCTACCTCATAGTCAACAGAACTTGGAAACCTTTTCCCAAAGGCTCTCGTATTTGTTTCCATTCTATTGATTATTCTACAGGGTCGGTTCAATTTCAATGCTACTAAGCTGGAAGCTATTGCTACTTGTATGGACCGTGATATTTTGAATCCGTATGCGCCACCAACACGCCGAACATGAACAGTAATCCTTAAAGCGTAATTAATAATACTTTTATAAAATATATTTAGAAAAACCGACCTCAACCTCCTCTATTGAAGGCAGTTAATTAATATAGGTACAACCTCTTTGTAAGTGTACCTTACACTTTTTCTGAAAACCGCATCAAAGTCAGTTCAGCCAAACGCGAGGTAATCGCGCACAAACATACATACATACATTTTAAACTGAGAAACTAATTTTTTTGAAGTCGATTAATAATTAAATTGGCTTTTAAAGGAATAGTACTAAATGACATAAAAGATACTAACTTGTTTTGATCTACCTTCAATGCACGATATATCATCAATTGAATTACTGCTGGCCATTGTGTAGTAGCATACACATCAAACCCTTCTTCTATAGGATTTGTTAAACTAACCAATGTTTCCATAGAAAAATAGTTCTGCGCTTTCAATGTATTACTGCCCTTGACAACTTTAGCAACATCGTTACCTCTTGTTGTTGCCTTAATTTCTGTGTACAAAGTATTTCTTGCAGGATCTTTCTTACCTTCATCTACATCAATTACTGGTTTTTCTAGATTTGCATAAGTTACTTTGACTAAATTAACTGCTTCATAAGCAATGTCTTGATTATCAGCTACAATCAAACCGAGTGGTTGGTTGAAGTATTTGACTTGGCTGCTGCAGAAAACTTCTTCGTTCATGTGATACGTATATAGGTCTTTAGGTGTGAAGGAATTCAAACCAGGGATATCTTTCGCTGAATAGAATGCTATTACACCTGGTTGTTTCTATAAATGAAATGATTTTATTAAGGTAAATTATTAAAATTGATTATTCTGTTTGCTACAGTTAAGTGAGACTTACAAGGGCATTTGAAGGATCTATAGATACGATACGACCTTTACCAATAGTACTGAGAACAAATGCGCCGTGAACTTCTCTGGGAAATGTAGGAATGTCATCAGTATATTTCGCTTCACCTGAGCATTGTATCTGAAATTATAAACATTGGCAGAAAATTGCAGTAGGTAATTAAGTGAACATTTTGTTCATCATGATCGACAAAATCTAAAGGATATTCAAGTTATAAATCAGTGCTATGTTCAGTAAAGTTTAAGTTTTTTTAAGTCTACGCACCTACTAATAGTATGTTTCATACATGTATCTTTACTAGATGTCTGAATTCTGACTTAACATCCTAGCCTAGCCTAGATACCTACGTTTATATTCCTGTAACCCGAGCAATGTTGCAAGTGAAGCTTTAGTTAATTTTATTATAAGTGGACTCACCAATCCTTCAATCTTCGGCATGGGCTGGTTTATAGGCCATAAACTGGGGATTGTGTCAAATATCTGTCGACCCTCAGACACCGGTCTAGTCTCATGTAATTTGATTGCCCCTGATTTGTAGCGTGGGTGTATCAAAGTATCCGGACATAAAGTTAGCAGACCCTAGAATGTAAATTCCTTACTTCAATACTCTAGAGGATATTCTCAAAAAGTGACCACTAAACTACGTATAAAGAGGTTAGTTTCGGTTTCACACAAGTTTGCCTTTACATTATTTGAATTGTCTAAAACATAACATAACATCATGCCTTTTATCCCCGAAGAGGTAAATATAGGTGCACATTAAAGCACATAATGCCACTGTATAATGTAGCACCTACTTTTCACAATTTATATTATGAGTCGCATGTAATAGGGGGTGAGCCTATGGCCATATACCTGGCATATTTCCAGACTCCGTGCTATTACTGTGATTTTTTTTTAACCCAGTAATCCTTTGCCCCATCCGGGAATCGCACCCGATACCCCTCGCCCGGCAGTGACACTTTTTTTTTGAGGGGGAACATCATCTAATTTCTTCTCCCGCCTGGGTTAGGATCTGTCCTTGCACACACTTGCAACCACTCGGCAAACCCCAACCGAGGCAGTCTGTCACGGAGGCTAACCTAACGGGTTGCGGAGAACCTAACGGGTAACCGGGGCTCCGACTCGACGTGCAGGAGAAGGAACGGGGTGGTTTTTAGTCAGTAAGAGTCTGACACTCCCTCCCGCCTCACCCAGGCGGGAGCAGTCATTCGATGATTTTCCCCCCTTAAAAAAATAAAACTGAGGCAGTCTAAAGTAATGTGTAAAGTAATGATTGGATTGTATTAGCATTTAGGTATGTTTATGTTTCTTATTTCGGCAGCTGGTCGCCAAGCCACTATCCAGGCCCTGAGGTTACTTGAATTAAGGTCCCATCAAACAATATTACTTTATAGAAAAGTCCTACAGCCAGCTGTCTTCTATACTTAGCAGAAAATTCTGGAAGATTTTCAGTCACAACCAATTCAGATTTTAATATTTCGGTAGCTTCTTGTAGGATATCATTTTTGAATAATGGCTTCCCAACTAGAAACCGTTCAGTTTCTGGAGCCCGAATGAATTTTGCCGATAGTCCACCAAATGTTATCCTTGTGTTAACAACAGTGTTATCGGGATTAAGTTTGTATAAAAATCCAGAATTGACTACAGCGTGTGCATTTTCAAAGCGGGGCATAATCTGGAAAAAAGTATTTCATTTTTTTTAAGATCAACTAAGTCAAAATCATTTATTTCAATTGGGCCAGAAACGCACTTTTGAACGTCAACATAAAAATTTGAAGTGAAGCTTTTTGGTCATTTAAGGTGTAGATTCCTATAGAGAAGAACGAGCAAGAAACTCAATAGGTTACTCTTTTTCAATCAGGTTCATAATACAATTCTCTAAGTACATAGGTTTGTTAGTTTTTAGTTTGACAAATAAGACTATACTAATGGTTCGGTAACTGTGTGTGTTGTTTCAGATTTGTCATGTCAATTGTATGTTTGTAAACGCACTCTCGACACAGGAGAAAATCTTAGTGTGGGGCAACATTAAAAAGAAATTGAGTCTTTTTAAGATTTGGGAAGTACTCAGATCCTTTGAAACTAATATTTTTGTATGGTATAAGAATGAATTGATTTTTCAAAATTAGAACAATAGAATTCAAAATATTGTCAACTCCCAACTTTACACCATACAGTAACAACTATGTTCAAATAATTAAATCTAGTTGTAGGTTAAAATTCGTACCTTGTAAGTAACTAATTTGTACTCCTGGCTAAGTGGCGGCAACATTACGTTCAAAATCAGCTTCCCTTTCATCTTCAGCTTTAAGAATTCCTGCATATTTACGATTTGTGTATTACCCTTTGAACACACTGAAATTAAGAGGCTCTGTATCAATGAAAGACTCAAGTTTAAACCTATCATGGTTTTTCTTTAGAAAACCGGTCAAATTATAATATTTACCAAACTTAAAGGCTATTATTTTTTAAAGACGAAGTTTAATAATGCAATACCCTCAGTCTTAAAAGAGATAAAACTAGAATATGTTCAAAAACTAAAATTGGGTAGTTAAAACTTATATCGATTTCGAGATAGTTAAAGTTATGTTAAATAACGTTTTTTATTGCATTATAATCTTCGATCAACTATAACTTCGATGAAGAAAAAGAATTACAAATTAGGGTATAACCTGGGTGTCTTTAAAGCCCCAGTGAATAGGTTGCTTACGGGACGACGTGTTTCATCATAGACCGCATCATTGCTTACCACCATGCGAGATAGGGGTCAAACGTCGGCCCATCAATATTAAAATAAAAAATTACAAATGATAGACTTACTAATAGTTAACTCAGCACCAACAGTTTCAAATAACAGAAACAAATCCGATGAAAAATCATTATGTCTGTGTTTTGTCATCAAGTTCCCCGCTATGGAGCCCACCTGAAATCATGACATTTTCAAAATATTCTGTATTTTATAATTATTGTCTTTGTATTCAAAAAAAATCCTAATTTTGAAGGATTACTCAATTTCATAGCAATAATGCTATAAAGCCATTAAGGAGAAATGGTACCATCGATTTTTTTGTTAAGAAAAAGATTTTATATTTTTTAATTTTAAATATTTTATCCTTTATTATGCTTGCAAAGGTAAGTAAATAGACGATATGAAATCGTAGCTTTAATCATTCGCTATGGTCGCTGATTGAAATAGCAATTTCCAAATGTTGGCCACAATTCCAGACTGAGCTTGACATTGACCATCCCTGGAGTCAGAATCAAACCATAATCACACTAGTATTATAAATGTGAGAGTTTATTTGTTTGGATGTTTAAATGTTTGTCCGTCAATCACGCTGATAGTACTGTACGGATTTTGGATAAAATTGATTGGTGTATACCCTGCCTATAGGCTGACTTAGGTGATACTTTTTATGCCGATCAAATGTTCCCACGGGATAAAACAGGAATCACATTCTCCGCGGACGAAATCGCGGGCAACAGCTAGTATTCAAATAAAAAAAATATACTTACATTTCGAACAGCTATATGGGCAACCAATACAATGTGATCGTACAAAACTTTTAAATAACTGAAGCTATCTTCTTGTTCAGACACAGTATTTAATATTTCTAGTAAGTGGCTAAGTGTGGTTTCTGCTCGTATTACAAGATTTTGATCAAGGTAATAACCAGTTAGGTCTTCAACTTGAGTCACATCTATAAGTACTCGAGGATTGTATTTAAGCTCATCCTCTGGATAAACTCCTACAAATGAAGTAATAAACAATTATTAATAGTAAATTAATATTTATTTTATAATGTGGGGTATAGTCTATAAATATATATCTGCCTAGTAAGCAATCATGTAAGCGGTCGGGGGCAGTCGCCCGCCTACCGTCTTGTGTAATAGACGGACGAATAAACGTACATATAAACTAATCGGACATTTTTATTTATTAACCAATAGAGTACCTAAAATAATGTTATTAGATGTCATTCTTTCAAGTCAGATATTGGGTCACCTTGATCACCCATAAAATTTTCATCAAAAATCATTATGACTGATAGATGAACTCAATAAAGTTGAAGAACATGACATGCTAAGAAATTAGCATAATTTGTACAAACATCAACTGATTTGACGACGAAAGAAATCCGACGATTATAATATTATTATTAATATAGCTATCACAACGGAGCGGTATCAAGAGATGACAGGACACTTAGAAACAAACTTATTTAACATTAATTTGTAATCAATAAAATGGTTCTTACCTCTACCAGTATTCCCACAAACCAATTTATATGAATCACATCCTTCTGTCTTCAATACATTAAATATATCGCCTATTTTATTAGCTTTATACCAGACCTTTCCATCCTTCAGATTAATCTTCAAAATACCACCATTTTTATTCACATCACTCATTGACAGCATACACCAATCTTCTTCTTCGCAAGGTTTATTCTTCTTGCTGCAAATTCTCAAGTCTTCTATGTCAGGAAGTTCAATTTTATTCGTTGAATCACTTGCAAAATTTTTAAATGCATCCAAAATTGGCCGAAATCCTGTACACCTGCATATGTTACTTCCAAATGACTTTTCTATTTCTAACTGGGTTAGGTTCTTTTTGCTTTGGAGAAGACTGTAAAAGTATGAAAATTAATAAACCTTTTTGTAGATTGTTTTTAGTATAATTGGTACAAAGCTGAATTCGACCTTGAAACTGGTCATACATAATGCAAATTTCAATGTTTGTACTGCGTCATTGGCCGAGTGGTAGCAAGTGCAACTACCGGGCAAGGTGTTTCGGTTTCGGTTCCCGGGTCGGGCAAAGAATTACTGAGTTTAAAAAAATCTCATTTATAGCATGAAGTCTGGAATTGTGCCCGGTATATTTAAATATTAGGCTCCTCTGGTGTTGCGGGTGTCCATGGGCGGCGCTGATCGCTTATCATCAGGTGATCTGTCGGCTCATTTGCCTTCTATACCATAAAAAACCCTATTACATGGGACTCGTAACATAAATAGTGAAAAGTAGGTTCAGTGCGCAGTAGCACGAAGCGCCGTAATGTGCACCTCCGCCTACCCCTTCGGGGATAAAAGGCGTGATGTTATGTTATGTAATTTCAATGTTTATCCAGGACATTACATACCTGTACATAGCCATTACCCACCCAGGTGTACAGTACCCACATTGAGACCCATTATATTTCGCCAGTGTAGTTTGTAGAGGATGATAACCCTTGTTTTTATTGCCTACTTCCTCAATAGTGGTGATCTCTAAACCCTGGCAAGCAGTGATTGGTAGAACGCACTGTAATAAATAAATGGAAAAGATGATCATCACATGAAGAACTGCAGGCCAAAGGCCGCTTCTGGGAGAAAATGAAGGTAAGATTAGGTAAAGATAAAATTAATGAACTAGACGCGCTAACCACGCTCTACTATATACTGATACTGTGATAATTATATTCACATCTAAAAGTACCCTTAACCAACGAGCATGCATGAAAAGGCTAATGGTTGTTGAGGAAGCGAAATGGGTACTTATGTAAGAATCGTAGCAATTGGCTAACCATGGTCTCTGCCCACCCCTTTGGATACAGCCGTGAGGTTATGTTTGTAAGTATGTTTGTATATTTCCGTCATTGGAAAAGTATAAGGTGCATAATTTATCGATTGTAGTTCAAGTTTATTGTAACGACAAACTACATTAAAAATATATAATTCACATATTTACCGAATTAACAGCATACGGTGATGCAGGTGGTCGTCGTGCTGTGACAATGCATGCGCCGCAGGACGCCTGCCTGCACATATACTTAGTGCCGCGAAGTTCCAGGTGATCACGTAGGTACTCCAAGAGCATCACAGTTGAACTCACCTCACAGCCGACTACAATTTCAGTATTCAATGTTGGCATAAGTACATTAAAAAGGTCTTTTTTATTGGAATAAGCCGGTAAACGAGCAGACGCATCACCTCATGGTAAACAATCGGCGCCGCTCGTAGACACCCGTAACGCCAGAGGTGTTACAAGTGCGTTACCGGCCTTTTGGGGATTATGAAATTTAGGATTGTTAGAGATTCGGAGATTGCGGCTCTCTGCGATCTCCAGTAATTCAGTAAACTCTCAGTAATTAGGCCTCACTCACACGACGAAACACTACGCAAGCGTTGCTTCACGTCGGTTCTCTGTAAGGTCGTGGTATTATTCCGGTCGAGCTAGCCCATTCGTGCCGAAGCATGGCTATAGCGACTATGATAAAAATATGTTAAATATAAATGTTTTTTAAAATATTGTATTAGTTATGGTTTGATATCAAGTCACTCACCAGAATATTCATGTCCATTAATTTTGAATCTCACTCTATCCATGGTAAAATTAATCAATTACTTTATTTCTTCACAGGCGCGACTGATTGGCGTGTGTGCGTAGTACAAATGAAATAGTATTGTTATAGAACTCTTCAAGTTGATAACTAGACACGTAATTGTATACAATGCTAGTTAAACATAAAACTGTACATATAATATAACACCTTTGAATCCCAGACAGTGTAGACAGGTTTTTCCTACCACTACGCCTATATTCGATTTTTTTTATTTTAACTCACTTACTAAAACCATTTAATGCCCACATTCAATTGATTTCAAATAGTACATAATGCATTGTTAAGTAGAATAGCTTATCAGTGAATAAAACAAGTGGAAAGAGGTGTATGTTTCTAACAACAACAAAAAAACTATCCTGGCAATTTGGGTTTTTACTATGTCAAATAAAATTAAAATCAAACCGGTTATTGCAGAGAAATTAAGCCTAGAATTTGATTGTACAGTGATATAATAGGAGACATAACAAAGAAGAATTAGAGCAATTTCACAGTACCGTTTGTCCAGCGTGAAGTGAAATCGTGGTGGCCCGGCGGTCTAGGTTCTCATGCATGAGGGTGAGGGTTCGAAACCTACCAATAGCAAATACCAATGTGACTTTTCCGAGTTATAAGTACTTTCTTAGATTACTTAGACACCACTAACAAACGATGAAGGAAAACATCGTGAGGAAACCCGGAATTATAATGTCTAATTATAAGTTTGAAATTGACAATCCGTAATGTGCAAGCGGGGTGATTAATGCTCAAACCTTCTCCGTGTTGGAAGAGGCCTTTGGTCAGCAGTGGCCACTTATGTTAGTCTAGCGTAGGCATTCGATAAACGTATGCAAGCGTCGCCTGCGCCGCGTAGTTGTGGCGTCTGCGCGGTCCATACGTTTATCGAACGTCTACGCTAGACAAACTGACTGGACTGGGATGCCGTCTAGTCCTTCTACGAAACAGTCAGGCTAGGTAAGAAAGTGGTGGGGCGCATGAGAGAACGAAATTTCTTTAGTCTCGCCGCGCCTCAAGGAGCCATCAAACCACCACAAGATGGGGCCCAATAGGGCTGGTACCTATACGGACCCGTGAAGGGCCTAACAGCGACTCAAAGTGCAGGAGTAAGAAAGGGGTTGTTTTTCGTCAGTAAGAGTCTGATACTCCCTTCACCTCAACCGGGTGGGAGAAGTTATTGGACGACATTCCCTCAAAAAAGCCTTGTCGTCTCGAGTGGATAATTTAAAAGTAACTGCAAAACTAACATTGTTTTAACGAGCTAATAATACAATCCCAAAACCATTTGTAATCAAGGTACTTTTAATCCTTGAATTTATTGACCATCAGATAAAATAAATTTAAAGATTAACAAGTACCTATTAACACTTAACTGTGGCTGGTACCTATCTTAAAAATGATTTTTAACAACATTTTATTGGCCTAATTACTTACATTAACATAATCGACCGCTTTTCATTCAAACTTGTTCAGATAAAGTATTTGGAAAAGCAATTGATTACAGCAATTATTTTAATTTTACTACATGAAAGTATAATTACTTCATTAGTGCTATCTTTTACTGTCACCGCTGAAAAGTCATCGACATCGTAAAATACTAAAATGTTTTAGTATTTGTAAATGTTCAATGGTTTAATGAAGGCCTAGCAGTGGGTAAGGCTAAGGTTGAATGATGAAATAATTTGCTCAATCGATGAAAGTTATGGCAATTAATTTGGAAGTGACGAGTCATGATTGCGGCGTGGTTGGTGTGGTGGCTGGACAACCGGCTGCCGCACAACGTGTCGCGGGGTCGATCGCGCGGGACTTTTTGTGCGATCCATAAATTGTTGTTTCGGGTCTGGGTGTCATGTGTATGTGGACTTGTTGGTTTATAAACGCACCCACAACACAGGAGACAATTGTAGTGTGGGTTAAAGTTTAAAAAAAATATTCGGCAATGCTGACTTTTCGACTGATGATGATGATGATTATAAGGATAAAAATATTGAAAATGATCATAAAGGTGTATTGTCGACTTTATTACTTGGGGGTTATAGTAGTGTATGCTATTTTGAGGCTTGTTAAACTGGAGGAATGTTATTTTCCAAAATAAAATACCGTTTTTTAAGTAAAACATTTATTTTGTAATGTAAATATGGCTTAAGTTTTGTATACATATAGCCTTTATAGACATAATTTCTCTACATACACAAAAAATTACATAAGACGTGTATATATTAGCAGGTAATTATGTATATTACAGATAATATAAAAATTGTAAGAAAACAACTTGTACATACTACAGGAAAGTAAGCAACACTCAACCTTAAACTCTATTGTTTGGTATTACTGTTGAAATTACACAGTTGAAATTGAAATAACATAACAAAGTGTTATGTTAATTATTATGTATCGAAAAAAAAAACAAATAAAAAAACTAATAAAAAAGTAAACGATTGGGTTAGTTTTGATAAAAGCAACAAATTGATAGAAAACGAAAATATTTATTTTTTAATAGGTAGATACTAATTAAACTTGAAGTCTTCAGTTCTGGTTTTGGTTGCCATGCAAATCTGTTCCGTTGTGAACGGCCCATCTGAAAAACAACAAATAAAAATATTACATCATGCATTTCGATATATAGTCCCATGTAATAGGAGGTGAGCCTATTGTCATATACCGGACACAATTCCAGACTCCATGGTACTACAGAGAATTATTAAAAAACCCAGTAATACTTTGCCCGAACCGGGAATCGAACTCGAGTCCCTTTGCCCGGCAGTCGACCACTCGGCCCAAGGAGGCAGTTAGTGTATTAACTCGTCGAGTACCGGTTTTGTAGACACAATTATAGAACAATAGGTTGCGGTCACCGGTGACCGCTTGGTGTTTGACAGTTTAATTTATGTAAGTTAGGCCTTTATAGTAAACTAGCGACCCGCCCCGGCTTCGCACGGGTGCAATATGCATGTATTATACATACAAACCTTCCTTAAGAATCACTCTATCTATTAAAAAAAACCGCATCAAAATCCGTTGCGTAGTTTTAAAGATCTAAGCATACATACGGACATACAGCGAAAGCGACTTTGTTTTATACTATGTATTGATATCCCTTTATAGTATTCATGGTAAATCATAAAAACTTGTACATACCAATATTAAACCAGTCAGTGGTCGGAATACCAGATTCCTGCCTGGCCTGAGCAATGGCTTCCCTGATGGCGAACGCTACAGCCACTGTAGAACAGATAGCTGGTTCTCCAGTAGCTGAAAAGTATTTAATGTAGCATTAAATCGAACATAACATAACATCACGCCTTATATCCCCAAAGGGGTAAGAAGAGGTGTACATTATACCACTGTACAACTATACTAGCGACCCGCCCCGGCTTCGCACGGGTGCAATATGCATGTATTATACATACAAACCTTCCTTAAGAATCACTCTATCTATTAAAAAAAACCGCATCAAAATCCGTTGCGTAGTTTTAAAGATCTAAGCATACATACGGACATACAGCGAAAGCGACTTTGTTTTATACTATGTATTGATATCCCTTTATAGTATTCATGGTAAATCATAAAAACTTGTACATACCAATATTAAACCAGTCAGTGGTCGGAATACCAGATTCCTGCCTGGCCTGAGCAATGGCTTCCCTGATGGCGAACGCTACAGCCACTGTAGAACAGATAGCTGGTTCTCCAGTAGCTGAAAAGTATTTAATGTAGCATTAAATCGAACATAACATAACATCACGCCTTATATCCCCAAAGGGGTAAGAAGAGGTGTACATTATACCACTGTACAATGTAACACCCGCTTTGTATTTTATCTTATGAGTCCCATGTAATAGGGGGTGAGCCTATTGCCATATACCGGGCACAATTCCAAACTCCGTGCTACTACTGAAAATTAAAAAAAAACACAGTAATACTTGGCCCGACCCTGGAATCGAAACGAGACCCCTTGCCCGGCAGTCGTACTTGCGACCACGCCCCATCGAGGCAGTCAGCAGGAGTTATTAAATCTCATTACTATTTCGTTCATTAATTATCGTATATATCGAGGTGCAAACATGCATAGATGTAGATATAATTAAACCTAAAACTTATTATACCTCTAATTCACAAGTATTTGTCAAAAGATGTATCAATTGATATATGAGAGCAAGATATCAAGTGTCAATCATTCTTCTACGAAAAATAATTAATATAACAAAACAATTTTAGTTCCTACCTTTGGATCCTAGAATGATGTCGTTGCTGTAAGAATTCTTCTTAAAATAGACCCTGAAGTCCTGAGGTATGTCTCTGGCCTGAGGTATGTGATAATCCCAGGTTCTGTCTGTGAGGATTTGTCCAGTTTCAGCATATTGCAGCCTCTCACAGGTCCAGTAGCCAAGACCCATTACGAAAGAACCTTCCACCTTAATAAAGAAAATAATTTGATCAGAACTTAAAATAATATTTTAGTAAAGATATGTATGCGTGCCTTATTATACTCTTTTTAAGAGCCTATTCACATTACAATATTATTGTCTATTAATTGCAAAACTCAAAATTCACAAAATATTTAAAAAAACAATATGATGTGAACTTACCTGTCCAACATCAATTTCAGGGCTGATACTAAAACCGACATCTTGCAGAACATCTGCTCTCAATACTTCAGATTCTCCAGTCAATATATCAATTTCCGTTTCAACCAAACACATTCCATAAACGTTGTAAACTTGAGCGTCAAGTAAGCCTGCAAACCCATGTGCCTGGAGATCGACATCAGCATTGAAAGCAGCAGTGATTACCTGCTCCCATGTTGGATTGGTCAACGTAGCCCTAATGGGCGCCAACCTCTCATTCAACTGATCACAACACCTCTTCAGTCCAATTAGCACAGATGTTGTTGTCAAACTTCCTCCAGAAATAAAACTATTTGGAGTAATAATGGTGTTATTTCCTTTAATTTGTATTTTCTCTACGGGTATCTTTAAGAAGTAGGCAGCTAATTGTACCGCTTTAGTGTTGATGCCTTGTCCCATTTCCACACC